ATGCGTGCGCGCGCTCTTGCTCCTACACTGTGATACAGACAATAGGCTTGCACTGTGCTTAGATATACGGAACGTATTTGGCTATGAGAGGAAGAGAGAAAGAAAATGTGCACGCGCACTGCTTTCTCATGCTTACATCCCCCACTCAACTCCCGTTCGCCTCGCCCGATCACACTTTTCTTAACGCTTACGTTCGCTAGCTTACTCCCCAAGTCAAGAGTGCGTAAAGAAGTTTCACTTCAAAAAGAAAAAATAAAACGTTTATTATAATTGAAGCATAGAACAATTGTAAATAGCCTGAAACATTTTTACCAAACACCGTAAATGACTACGAAATAATGATCATTCGTTAATTCGTAGTCATTTTTTATTTTGAGGTCTTCGATGCGAGTTGTTTGATTTTTGTAAGGATCGATGGATAGATTATTTTCCCCAAATCGCCTATTCAGAGGGCCTGGTTTCGAATTCCGGTGAGGCAAATATTTGTATGATGGATACGAGCATTTTTACCAATATTATATCATGATAAATAACACTAAATTCATAAAGTTATCATTTGTAAGACCTGTGTTGTGACTATCTCACTGTACCTACCAGGGATTGCTCTCTTTCATTGCATCTAAAAACTAAAAGGAACTTAATGGGCTGCGCAAAAGAGGATTTTTTTTCTGCGGACTATTTTGTTCATCAAACAGTAGATCGCATACAAAAACTTTTATATGTGTACTACATATTCACATCTTAGATTAAAAAAGGGAATATATTTTTGTTGAAATTATCAGTTATGTTATATATAATTACTTAATCATATATAAATTAACTCATAGTTTGAACATTTTAAGCATTTGCATTGAAAAATAAAACATTTATTAATCGATTGTGTAGGTATCGATTCCTATAGAATCAAATCGAAATATATACCATAGGCAAGTGAAGTAGGTAGCTGTCAACTTGTTGTCAACGTGTTTGTTGTTTGTTCCGAGTGACTAACTACTAAGTACAGTTTTCAATTTTGAATTGAATTTGTGTTTTCAGTGGTCTATTGTGGCAGAATAGTTTTAATGTTGAGTTGAGTAATCCTCCGTTAATAACTGTTTTTTGGGAAAGAGAGCATTGGACTCGTTGATTTAGTGTTAAGTTACCTTTAGTGATTCTGACAGAGATATTTGGACTCTTAGTTTATTGTAATTATTTTTGTTTACAATGGCATCTGGTGTTACACAAGAAAACGCAGGCAGTATGCAACGACGTTGTATTAACTGTTGTATATCAGTGCCACGACGACAGCCAGTACATTCTTTGGACATGCTATCCAATTCAATGCTTAATGTTTTAAGCTCATGGATCGCACCTGATTCTGTAAGTAATTATTTACTTATATTACTAAAAATATATTGTTATACAATCGCAACCGTGAGATAATGTTTTAATTTTATTCACATGTTCAAATAAATATAAATATTTTTGACTTGTTATAGATATTGAATGGGGGCATAGTGTGCAACGAATGCTTTATGCTACTACAAGCTAGTGACACCACCGAAGAAGTACCTGCACCACAATATGGCCATCAACAAGTCTGTTTTGGTTGTGGAAAATCCATATTAAGAAGTCGATCGTACAGGGTTTCACTACACTGTCCAGAAAGAAATATTATTCTTAGATGGACTCCAGCACATCAGGTATGGTATAAGATATTATTATCAATAATAAATTATTAAAATTGATTTCAATGCTAATTAAAACATGACTGTGACATTATTATTATTTTTGCATTGCATGATTGAAATGTTATATTAATAATAATTTATTTAAATTGATTTCAATACTAACTGAAACATGACTTTGACATTTATTTTTTACATTGCACAATTGTCATGTAGTATATTAATGAAATTGATTATATAATAACTAACCCAATCATGACTATGGTATATAAATAATATATATAGTTTTTAAAGATTGAGTTCTGGATAATACTGCAACTACCTATAAATATTTGCACGTTGATAAAAGCGACAGGTCATGTTGGTTATATTTTTGAGATCTGTATAATTTACCATATCTTGTCAGATAAATGATTTATTATTATTATTATAAGAAATATATTTCTATTGCATAAAATAGTTGTAGATGGTTTTTCATTAAATTCAAGTTCACTTATCTTTTTTTTATAGGTGTCAAGAATTTCAAGAGTTTGTGCTGCCTGTTGGCGAGCAGCTAATAGGGAAGTGCAAAGGCAACAGTTACATGATGCGAATCGGTCATCAATTGAACAAATTGATGTAGAACCAACAGAGTCTGTACCAGTGATCCCAGTACCACCACCATTTCCCGCTGGTCTATTACCTGTTCAGCCTTCAAGACCTGTTATACCTAAGATACAGTCATCAGTATATAAGCGTGCTGTAGCTACTTCATCGAGTTGTCTGTTTTCAGGATGCCGGGAACAACAATGTTTATTAGTACCCAGAGTAATAAGAGAAATGTTATTAATACATAATAAATTCTATGTTCCCACATGTTGTAGAATATGTCAACATCACTTGAATAATGGGCGTTGGAGTGATTTAACATCAAATCTGCAAGATTTTACTGGTGTACAGTTTGATGCCGTTTTGAATATAATGCAGAGAGCAGTTTCCCATTGTTTCGACTTTGAAAATATTTCTGCAATGGCTCCTTTCTTATGCCATTATTGGCTGGGAATGAATGCTGAACAGTTTGATGAACTCTTGGCATGTGTACCAAGCTTATTACAGAGTACAGTATCCCCGTTTAGCACTCTGTATTTACATAGTCAAGTTAAGAACTGGGGACAGCAATGAACGATTAAGTTCCCTCTTTCAAATGTCTCGTAGGACCTTGGAGAGAAAAAAGAATATAACTAGAAGTTGTTTAGTTGAAGATTTTGTGTCAAGACATTTGGGCTTTGGTCATGTAAATGTGGAGCAAGTGGCCAGCAGAAATAAAATAATCCCGGAGGGATTAAATAATCCCGGAGGGATTATTTTATTTCATTTTTCCGGCAGGATGATGTTTTTATTCTGGATAGGGGGTTTCAGGACGTTATTGAATTTATGGAGGATCTTGGTTTTAAAGCTTACATGCCTGAATCATTATTAGATGGTGAACATCAACTCACTACCCTTCAGGCTAACAAATCTAGATTTGTAACAATGTGTCACTGGGTGGTTGAAATAGTAAATGGACGTATAAAACGAGATTTTAGATTGTTCAGGCATGTATTTAATAACAGAGCTGCAACTCATTTAAAAGATGATTTAAGAATTGCATGTGCTCTGTTAAATAAGTTTCACCCTTAATACAGGATCCTCCAGAAGCAAGAAATCGGCTTAATGAGTCCAATCATTTGGCCGAGTTTGTAGAAACTCAAAATCTCAACAGAAGACGTGCAATGTTTTCTGCAATTGATGGCAATCATCCTCACTTGGAAACCTTTCCCAGTTTAAGCATCACTGATTTAAAACGCTTTGCATTAGGCACTTATCAGTTACAGCAGGCGCGATCATATTATGGGGAACATATTCGATCGTCTGGGATATATTCCATAGAAATAAATACAGAAATAGATGAAGATGTTCCCCTTGTATTAGGTTTAAACAATTATCTGCTTAGAGGACGTATTAAGTCTAGACACGTTGGTGGACGCACCTATTTTGTTTACATTTTAGTCAGCCGTAACACCAATATAGCCAATACACTAAGTTGTTTAGTTGGCTATTGCTGCAGTTGTATTGTAGGCAAAAGGACAGTAGGATGTTGCGCACACGTAATGACGGTAGTTTGGTACCTTAGCTGGGGGCGATTTAACGATACGCATGCTCCAGCTACATTTTTAGATGAGGTATTTGAAGAAGGTATATAAGTCAATTCTTTTTTAAAAAAAGGCAATATATAAACCAGGGTTAGAGCACGCTTAATGTATAAACTGCTGTGTTAATTGAACTTAGCAGAGCTTTAACTGGATATTTCAAACTCAACAGGACATGGTGGCGAGTTACAAAAGATATTTTAGGCGAAGTCACTACAGTTCCACTGGATACGGCATAACCCCAAAAATATAAAATAAAAATATCACATTAATAATGTCGATTTGGATAAATGTGTTATCAATAAATGATTATCATTATTAAAATATTTTGTCTTATTTATTTTTGATTCCTAAACCTTAAATAATACTATATCCATTGTTGGGTTAACAGAGCATCAAAGGTGCAGCTTGAGCGTAAAGAGAATAAGTATAAATAGCACTAATATAACCGCACCTCAACAACGCCACATTTATTGAATCTGAGATGTTTGGAATAAATAGAGATAGATAGCAGCTCACCAACGCAACAGTTTACAAATATACGCTGCTTGTTGATAAGATTTTACGAAGTGCATTCAATTTTTGTTTCACTCCCAGTCCAAAATAGAAGACAAAAGGTCACAACCTAATTAAATACAGTTTAAAGTAGTATACCTAGTAATAATTAAGTATGGTATAAGTATCGAATTTAATCGAATCTAAATATGACATAACCTTAAAATGCTTACGTAATTTAATATTTTCTTTAAACCACTACTTAAGTTTCTAATGATATTTTTCCTACGCAATATACACCTGATTCCCTATTGTTGTACACTTATTCCAATAAGACGCAATGAAAAAAACTTAGCCCAACTCCCAAAGTAAAATGCCCATTCTCCTTTCTACTCGTATCATTATACCTTTCAGTTTTGCATTTCAAAGATGTTAACAAACTTTATTCGAGTTGTTTGTTTGAATCTGAATTTACCTTCACATGTCAAGTTTTAAAGATTTTCAAATTTTAGTGTAAATATATTATAAATAGCAATTTTTTAAATTAATTCCTCCAATGATAACTCAGAATACAATACTAAAGGAAGAACATTTTGGTTGTTATGAAAAATTTACTGATGTAAGTAGGTTTTTTTAAAGTTATGCAGTTGTATGTTATTTAAGTAGGTACCTGTTGAAAATGGGTTGTTCATCCTTCAATCAAGTAGTCAAACTGAAACAATAGAAAAACAATATCAAAATCATAAATTGTTATTGTAAAATAAAGCTACTAGATTTATAAATCTAAAGATTTTTGTTCTAGAAAAATTGCACTCAGTTCAGAGGGATACATCCCGGCAAACTACTTGAGCAATTGGTTGCGCAGGCTTCAACCAACATAGACAAGGAAACCTGTGCAGTAGCACAAGTTTGTGTCTGTGGTTTTGCTAAAGAAGTTTGCCACTACCTATATTTTCTTAATGCATGTTACATCATGACATTAATACTGACCATATATCAGTATTTGACTGATAGGCGAAATACAATGAGTTTATAACACCAAATTTTTCAAATATTTAAAGAATAAAATTATCTCAATTAAATGTTCAGATTCACCTATTTCAATTAAAACTTTATTACCTTAAGTTAAGAATATAAGTAGTGCACACAGATACGATAAGAAATCTTGAATCAACTTTAAATAAAGACCCAGCTATAGTATGTTAACAATAGGCTAGTTGCCTATATTTTAAAAAGTGGTTAATAATATACCTTGATATTTATTTAACCCCAAAAAAATGTTATTTTAAATAAAAAAGTACATTAGCAATATGTATTTTGTATTTTAAAAAACTTGTTCAAATTTCCCTCGAAAACGCTCTAGACTGTCATGGCGTCTAGAATGACGTCACGCCGTGCAAAGCAAACAATACGCTGTACGCCGACTATTAAAATTATTTAGTTAAAAATGAATCCATCGTATTACAAGTACTGTATAGTGTCCTAGTATAAAAGGAGAAGCATAAAACGCCAGACAAATTATTTATATGCCACAAATGCGGAAAAAATGGTTAGAACTTAGAACTTGCAAGGAGGGATGGTACCTATTCATTGTTTATCAACAAATACAAGAATAATTTTGTGATTAACATTTTGATGTAAGTATTTTGCATAACATAATCAATGAAATCAAAATGTTATACAAGCCGGATAAATTATATTGCATTATATTGATAAAACAATGACAATAGGTTGAGGTTAGGTAAGTTGATTTAATTTTATGGTATGATTTAGAGTCTATTTGAGAGTTCAATATATTTATTCATAATAATAAACACTTCTTATTCTTGTTCTAGTTGCCAAATGATATGCTTAATTATGTCGAGTAGTTATGCGATTAATTTTGGTTATTTATTTTGGTTAAAATATTATTATTTGCTTCGGTAAATCCCAATTCCATGGATTTATTAGGCTTCCTTTCAATACTTATCTGAAAACAAACTGATAATTTGTATCAAAGTAACAATAACATGAATGAGATATCAATGAAATGTATGGAAACGGCAACCACAAGTAATGTTTTGCACGTGGTGACGTCAGTCTTTCTGATTGGTGTTTGCCGTCACGTGATCTAATGCCTATTTTATTCGAATTTATTTTCTAAAAATAATAATAATCTTTAATTATTATGATAAATAGCTTTATTTTTTGTTATCTGTATATCATAATTCATATTTAGAAACTGTAACCCATTCGATTTATTGTTAGTTGACACAAGCCTATTTTAATATTTTTATCTGTAGTTTTATATAAGTTAATTATTAATTACTTAATGAATGATACATCAACTAACAATAAATACTATACATAGATGAATAATGAAGCTTTGCTGCATGACAATTACAGAGATAACAGATCAATAACATCTGTTTATTTAACAAAAGCAGTGATAATATACAAAGTATGTTTAAACAAACTACATTGCAAAGAAACACTGAAAATAAAGTTACAGATAAACCTGTTGGACGTTCAAAAGGCGATTATTTTGCTACCAGGCATTGTGTTCATTCAATATTACACCAAATTCCATGCATTGTATGTCACAAAATACATCGGCAGGACTTACCAAAACGTTGTGCCCCCATATACGCGAACTGAATTCAAACCTCCGCGAACCACATAGTACCAATACCACTGTAAGTCAGTTACGCAAGTTATACTCGTGTACTTTTTCCCAAGTAACCCGGAAAGGTACGAACAATAGAACCGAAATTTTATGCAAAAACACTTTCACGACGGGACAATCCGCAACACTGGCTGTGTAGGTGGCTAGGCTACCTACACAAAACAATAAACAGTTATTAAGCCGAAGAAACTCGTCACTTTTAATAAAAACACAAATTTAATGCAACATTAACCATTATGTACCATTAAATAAATAATACTGGTTGTAAAAAGTAATTATTATTGTAAAGTAACTTTTTGTGATTACACAAAACTTTAAACTTCACTCGTAGCAGAAATGTCGACGACTTCGCTTTGCTATGACTGTCAAAAAGAGATAGCATTAGCACGCTGACTGTGTAACAAGTTGTCATTCCTTTAAATGAATTAAGTCTAAGTAAAGAAACAAAATAATTTAAACTCAATATTGAAAGCAGTAAGGTATTTTTTTTGTAAAATTAAGTTTGACATTTATAAAAGGAAGTACACTATAGTCTTGCCATATAAAATAAAAAATGGTTTCGAATAAGTAAAATCGTTCATTATGATATTTCCTATACATAAAAAAGGTAATGTTTATTTGTCCTGAATCACACGTGGAAATTTAATAAGCCGTTGCCGGTACTTGAATATATTTTTATGTCCATTCAAGCGATGTTTTAATAAAATAAAAGTTTTTAATTTTAGGGGCTTATTATTAATTTCAGCTTTTTCCTATACTACTGTGTAGTTGTGATACTAAAGCAATAGAGAAATAAAATGCTATCAATTAATAGTTTGTTTTCTTAAACGAATATAGGCTGGTGAAATAGTTTAATTTAATAAACACGTTTGTGGTGTCGAATGTCATATTATTGGCTACGGAAGCGATTGAATCAAATGTTGTTGATTTCTCAAGAAATTTCCTATAACTTGGTGTCAATACGTACTTCTAACATGCATACTTTTTTTTATAAATTGTCTCTATCCTAAATTTCGGGTTATTTTCATATTACTATATTGCAACACTGTCCACCAGTTGATCCAGTTCTGCGTTTCGTATTCCATTGCAGCTGGTCATATGTCAGATCGAACATTGAAAAAAGGTATTCTTATGTATAACAAAATTTAATAAAGATCAATCTCAAATAAATCCTATATTTTACATCTACACTAAAGCATGCGACAATTTTTTAACATTCAGAAGTCAAACACTTTTTTTTCATTATATTGAAACAAAACGTTTCTAATTGAGTTTTGCCTGTGCTTCTACCACAGACAAGGAAGCTTAGAATTTTGGCGCGGTTTACAAATTGAGTTTGCCACTTTGCTTGCAGCTGGTACGTGCAGACAGCGGACGGCTGCCGGGGACATTGGCTAAATCTTCTGTGATGGCTCACAGAAGAACTCTAATCTAATGTAACTTGGACGTTTTTGTAGATATTCACTATAAATTCCTTATCTTACATTTAAACGTATTTCTGATTAAATATTGGTGTATTAGTTTTTTACTATGTTGCAAATGCAACACTTTTTCACCGCTACCGGATAGGTATCTGTTTTTACTTTTTTATTGTGCAAGTAAATTCGATCTTTTGCAATGTATCCATGTATTGGTGGAAACTTTGTAAAAAAATTAAGCATCTAAGTTGACGTAAAAAAGGTAAATTGAAAAAATCAAAACACCCGACTGCTTAATTATACTTCAAATAAAAACTGAAAAGAAAGAAACAAGTCCAGTAGTCTATAATTCTGTTACTAAGGAACAAAGCTACTTTAACAGTCGGGACCCATTAGATATTCAAGAATACATAATATTTTTCAACAGTGGGTCCCGACTGTTAAAATAGCTTTGTTCCTTATTAACAGAATTATAGACTACTGGACTTGTTTTTTTCTTTTCAGTTTTTATTTGAAGTATAATTAAGCAGTCGGGTGTTTTGATTTTTTAAATTTACCTTTTTTATTTCACACTTTTTAGTTAGTTAGTATTTTAAGACGGTATATACCTTAATCTTGTTACTTCAGTAAGGGAATTAATATTGCGGGAATGATTAAGTACCTTGCATCGGTCTAAAAATTGATTTATTAAGACATATAGAGACTTTACCAGCGGGGTCAAGGCTACAGATGGGCCTCAATTTTCGCAAAAATGTGTGAAGTTAAATCAAGTCGTTACATAAATATCTCTAATGTATGTAAATTTTATAGTAAACTAGCACTTACTCAAAAAGTCATCTTTTGTTTATGTTTTTTTTTAATAGTTTAGCAGTAAATATAAAATTCATTTACTTTTATTCGTCGACTATTTAAAATTGGCAGTGGCTGCATTGTCATGTCAATGCCGGACGTCTAAGATTGTGATATACACAAATGCAGTGTCAGTCCCTAGTCTCATAATTTGATATACCTACATAATTCACAGAAACCCAATATGTAGATGCCAGAAGTAAACTTTAAATGTTTTTAATCACCCTATATACAATACCAATCAATGACGTTTATGTCGCAGGTTGAAGAAAGCAGTAATTCCCGTTTGTTGTTTTAAACTAAATTAAATAATTATGCAATCACCAAAGCAAAGTTTATAATATTTGATTAAACTAAAGGCGCATAATAAAATTTTCATAACGTTAGGTAGAGCACCATAGCAATTTCATTCATCTTCATTTCATTTCATTTCATCAGTTTTCTTTTAAAGCGTTTCCATTTAACAGGTCAAGGACTTTGTGTACGATCCTTTTTGGTTGGTAATGTAAAGCTCGAATGAAGAGTACTCCCAGTAGTGCAATCATGGCAATTATTTTCCAATTTTTTTTGTTTAAAAAAAACCGAATAACGTATCACTGTTAAGCACAAATGCTAAGTAACTTTTACAAATATAATCAAATAAACCTATTACTTACTTTATTTTAAAATCTTTTTCATCAATTAAATACTTATCTTATCCTAACTATCTATACTAATATTATAAAGAGGCAAGATTTGTATGTTTGTAACAAATAATCTGTCAAACTACTGAACCGGTTTCAAATATTAATTCATCATAAAGTAGCTACATTATTTATTATAACATTTTTCTTTATTTAAATACATTTTGTCCGAGTGACATAGGCTATATTTTATCCCGATAAATAAATTTCGCCCGTACAATGCCCGGGTGGATCACTAGTAACTATAATATAATATTATAGATGCGAAAGTGAGTTTGTTTGTTGCGCTTCCGTGCCCTAATAGCTAAATCGAATATAATGAATTCCCATATAGACGTAGGTGGGAACTTGGTTCTTAGCTACAACATCGCAATACTTATAGGCGTAGGGTGATGAAAGGGGTGATTTACCTAAAAAAATCTACATTATTTACTTTGAATTTTGCAGAATTATTACAAAACCAATATTATCGCGTGCTGATTAATAAATACAGGGATTCCAATAAGTATGTACTTACTAGCGAAAAATTGGTTATTTGTCATTATATTAAGTAAACCTTTTTTGTAACATTAAGTAATGTCGTTAAAAAAATTAAAAACAGTAAAATTCTGAGTTTTTCATTGAAATTCAATAATCATAAATACCTATTATGATAATATATTTTTCATCATTTAATAAGAAGGAACTGTATCACAGTTTTATTGTTAGTACTTCGTATAGGATCAGATACTGCGAATACCCCATTTTTTTTCTTTTTTCTACTTAGTACACCGCGCTATCACTTTGTCATCGTTGTAACTTTTTAAATATTTGTCGAAATGACGTAGTGTAAAAAGCAAAGTTTATCGTCTTTAAATACCAAAAGCGATAAAAGTATTTGTTTTGATAAAAAATGATTTGTTAATACAAAATGTGCATTTTGGGAATAGATATCAAATAACATTTTAGTTTTGATTCACTATTTTAGCGGTAATGACTTACACATTAAAAATAGATATATGGTGTCACGGATTTTTTTTAGAACTATTTAAGAGATACATTTTCACTTTACATTACATTCATGTAACTTTTATTGTTTTTGCAGTGCAGGCCAAAATGGCTCGCAGATGGGAGATTTTTTTCCGTCTTATGTGACACTTATTGTTATATATATTGGCCAATTCACTCAATAACTACATAAATTATTATATGTAATTATCATATATGAGATATATTACTGTTAAGTTTCATTAAAATCCATTCAGTATTTTTAGGTGAAAGAGTAACAAAAATCCATACAAACGTAAGATTGAAATTAAAAGCGTAAATGGTTAATATACAACTTTAAAGCGTTGTAGATCCTAAACAATCATATAAAATGAAAAATGTCGGTAGGAACCTAAATATGATTTTTGATTATCTAGACAGTGATACCCCACTCGACATATTTTGGAAACTTATTTTTTTTACTTCGTCACAATATGGCGCCTAATTTTGCCCATATTGAATTTTGATTACTATCATATCTTTAATAGCACTCCTATGATTGAGACGAATCGATTGATGTATGAATCATCAAAATCGGTCCAGGCGTTTGGTCTCTAGTGTGCCACAAAGGAACAAACATACATATATAGACTGTTAAACACATAACCCTGTCTGCGCGTCGCGCTTCGCGCTCTTGCATTGCGCAGCCGGGTAAAAAGGGAGGGATACTTACTTTTCTCAATCTACTAAGTATAACTACACCACATGGCCTGCATTTTATATCTAGTTAAATAACCAAACACGAATTGAGTAATGTTTGTAATTTAGAGTGATGAACTTTTATAGTTTGATATCTTGTGTATTGATTTCTCATTATCATTCCTATTTTCGCATTATTAATATAAGATTAAAAAACGCGCTTTTAATACGCTCAATCGATCAAAAAATCGAATCAATAATTTTCCGATTTTTTTTAATTAAATGCCTACGCACCGAATAAAATTTGAGGCGATGTAAAACACTAAAAGTTGTCCTTGCTTTTTATTTAATGCAGCTATTTTTTAATAAATATTGGACGTTTAGCGACGCGGCTTCGTAAATGGCGTACGCCCCTGATCCTGACTTGCAGACGTTAGCACCACAGCACACAGAACTTCTTTCTGTATTTAGCACCCACCAATGTCATGTCATGCAACGGCCGAATCTACTTAATTCAAAAGAACATTTTATAGACGTTTTATGCCCTTACATCTTTCTAATATATTTTTCTGATCTATCATCCATCTGATATTAAGCCTTCTATCCGTGAACAACATTTGACGATGCAGCAGAACCAGGGTCGGATTTAGAGTTATGGGGGCCCTGGGACAACGAAGGCGCGTGTCCCAGGGCCCCCATAACTCTATGGGGGCGTATTTTACGGGTTTTTTTTAT